CCAAAGGCATAGGGTAAATATTGCTGACAATATTTCTAAGTGCTTTAATGAGTAGTTTTCGAGAGATGAATAATTTCTTAACTGAGCATGATTCTCAGTTAAGGTGGAGGACATGCTTAATCTGGTAATCACTTACAGAAAATGTGGGTAATTTCTCTTGGGAGAACAAACCCTGTTACTCATAAGGCGCCCTACTGGGCAGCTCTCAAGACAATAGACACTATTGCACTCCTAATTTAGGTCTGGCACACATCCACATTCTCAAGATGGCATTCCTCCTCCCCTTTTTTCCCCACAAAAATAATGAAATGATGGCTGATGGCATGATGTAAGCAGTATCATAGTGGAAGGTGTAACCTGGGCTTTGGAGTTAGATCTAGGTTTGAATTCTGGTACACTCTACTACATAGCTGATAACACTTATTTCATTACAGTGTTGTTATTATTGGAGACAGACTCTCACTCTGTCACCCAAATTGTAGTGCAGGGGCATGATCTCAGCTGAGATCATTATATCCCATGCAAAATGAATTGAGGCATCAGTTTGGTTTATTGGGAATTATAAATCTAAATAAATATAGAACCAATAGCAAAACATTTATAAAAAGTATGTTATCAAAGACCTACAAATGTTTCCTGTTGTTAAAGCTATCTGAGTTTTCTGTTGCAATAAACAGCACAATGTTTTAATCAAACTGTGACTGTGTTCATTTCACGTTTGTTTCCCAGGACTCACTCATAGCCATAACCAATGCTTTCCCTAGAAAGGGCTCTTAAAAGTCTCAGGAAAGCTGAAGTTAGACAACCCTTTTTTTCTTTTTAAGAAACAGGGTCTCACTCTGTCATACAGGCTGGAGTGCAGTGGCACAATCACAGCTCACTACTGCCTCAACCTCTTGAGCTAAAGGAATCCTCCTGCCTCAGCCTCCAGAGTATCTGAGACTACAAGCACAGGCCACTGTGCCCACCTAATTTTTTTTTTTTTGTAGAGATGGGGGTCTTGCTTGGTTGCCCAGTTTGGTCTTAAACTCCTGGCTTCAAGTGATCCTTCTGCCTTGACCTCTCAAACTGCTGGAATTATAGGTGTGAGCAACCATGCCCAGCCTAGACCACAACCCTTCTTGAGCTGGTCTCCCCCTGGGAGCCTTCATCTAACAGAGCCAACATTGTTCTCTCCATACACTAGGTTTATGTTTGCTACTGGGTTTCTATATTATCACCTTTCATATCCATTTATATACGAAATTAATGGAAATAAAGGATGCAATTTGTCATCAATGATGGTTCATAATAATTATGTAGGCACTTGTAGAATGAAAACTACTAAGGATTCTAGGACTAAGAAGAAATACTAAAGTGATACACTTAGTACCACCAAAGCCACTACATTTTTTGAGATGTAAATTTCACAATGTATACATAATTAAGATGACAAATTAAGGCTCAAATTTTAAGGATGAATAGCTATTTCACCGATTTTACATGGCTCACTAGGAAACAGATTCCCATTTAAAGTAGATAGATAATTGAGTTTAATGGGATGCTAACTATGAGGGGATGAGTAGGGTTAAAGGAAACCAAGTCAAGATACCTGGTCAGCAGTGTCCAGTAGATATTTCTGGACGTCTGTAACGACGTAATGTTCTACATCGACGTTGTCTAATATAGTGGCCAAAGCCACATGTAGTTATTAAGCACTTAAAATGTGGTTAAGATGACTAAGCCACTGAATTTACTAATTTGTTTAAATAGTCACGTTGCCAACAGCTACCACATTGGACATTACAGTTCAGGTCTAGCAAAGAGCCACCACAAATCCTAGGCCTGAAGAGGTGAAGTAAAGAACAATTACAGAAACCTGATGTGATGCAGAATTAGAACTCTATCTTATAGGAAAGGATTACATGACAGGAGCCATAGCCTTTGACAGAAGAATGCTGCTACTGCCAACCTGCAAACTGTTGGGGAAGAAAAGGGAATAAATACTAATTAACTCTCCTTTTTGCCCCATTCCCTTCTGGTGCCTCTGACTGGTGGAGGAACTCAACCAAAAAGAACAGAAGAGAGCTCCTTGATGGAGTCCAAAAGGTCAGCCTCAAGGAGCACAGAACAGTGAAGGGTAAAGAGTATATCTGGAACAAAACATTATTATATCCCATGCAAAATGAATTGAGGCATCAGTTTGGTTTATTGGGAATTATAAATCTAAATAAATATAGAACCAATAGCAAAACATTTATAAAAAGTATGTTATCAAAGACCTACAAATGTTTCCTGTTGTTAAAGCTATCTGAGTTTTCTGTTGCAATAAACAGCACAATGTTTTAATCAAACTGTGACTGTGTTCATTTCACGTTTCCTACATTAAGAATTAGGTCAATACCATGCTCCTATATTCAACCAAGGATCTGAAAGGTCTAATGTGAAACTTTTTCGAAGGTACCATCTCAAATCACAAGGCCTGGGATTGAAAAATTTTTTTACTTTACTAAAGATCACTGTAACTCAATAAATGGATAAACTTAGATTAGAAAATCAGAGGAAGAGCAATAAACTGGATACATGAATCCAAACATCCCTTCTCTCAGGCTGCATGGCCACTGTCTTCAATTGTTTTCTGTACTGATTGTAGGTATTTTACCAACCTTTTTCACTTTCTGCACTGAATAGTGCTAAGGGGGAAAAAGGATGGGAAACGGAGGAGTGGCAATAACTAGAAGGTAGTTCTATTTGTGGAAAGCTTTTTTGTGTACTTTAGTGGGTCCTGAATATGAGTCCAGTCCTTACTGCCCAACACTTAAGGAAGAAAGGTCTAATGTGACTGTATGGGGGTTGAAGTAGGTACCAAAGGAAAAGCAGTTCCCACCACCTCCAAGGACCAGGAGCTGTTGCTCTTCAGGAAGAAGGATGCTAGTATGGTTGTGTAACATTAATGGCCATGGCACATATGCTGTGTCAATCTGATATTCAGAGCTCAATCCTGTGGTCAAATTGATAACAGTCACTCCAGGAAATGAGGAGGAATGAATCCAGACCCCTCCAACAAGTAGCAGCTTTCCATTGAGCACATGAGCTGTGTGGGAGTACCTTGGAGTAATGGGAGGCTGGATGTCTACTGACTCCCAGAGGAATCCACAAGAGATTGGTCTCAGAAAAAACACAGAGTTCAAAGGCTCCTCAGAAGCCCCGAGACCTCCAGCAATGAGGGCTCCCCCTTGCCAAGTGCTGGCACTGTGAGAATGCCGGGCTTCAGGTACTTCTCCCTCCACTGGGATCTGGACCCAAGTCATTGTCTCTACATGCAGGAAATGCCAGTCACTGAGTACAGGTTCCACCACACTTCGACCCCCATACACAAACAAATATTCCTGATTCTGATAGGACACTTCTGTTGCTGAATGCCGCCAACAAGACAATATGGAATCATCATTTCGGCCAGCCTTTGTTATTGTCACTTTCAGGTCCTCAGTGCTATCATCCTCACTCTTACAAAACTGAAGCTGGAGAGCCCCCAAGGCTGGACGTACTGGGGAGAGTCTTCCTCCCAGAACCAGAACCTGACTCTCTGAGAGTCTTGTCATGGTGTGATAAAGGCGTCCATCCCACTGAACTCCAGTACCACAACTTCGTATTTGGCTGCCTTTCCATTCGGAGTCACAGTCTCTTGAGAACAAGTGAAACTGGCTCACTCGGCAGTGCCGCCCCTCCTGCTCTCCAAATCCTCCTGCACTGAGAATAACGTCCGGGCTCAAGAGGACAGAGGCATGGCCATATCTCTTCAGGTTTGGGCCCAGGCCCTCGCTAGTGACTACACTGGCAGGGAAGACCCCTGAAGGCAAAGCAGGATTTACACGAGGAAATGCCTCTGAGGGTGGAAACACTAGGGTGTGGGAGAGAGTGTCTCCCCTAGAAGCTGCCAGAATGAAATAATGGGCGCACTTCAGATGCCACTCCTCAAACTCATCAAAGGGTTCAATATTTTCCACCCGCCGGCGCTCTTCTGCAGGGAGAAAGCAGCGATAGAATTCATTCATATCCACGGCACCGCAGGCAGTCCAGCCAGCTTGAAGGAAGCGGCGCCTCTGCGCCTCCACGTCAGGAAAGCGATCCAGGCCATGCAGGGGGGAGTTTAGCTGCCGAAAATGCTGCAGCATGAACTGACCAAAGGCGTCTTGAGGCCTCATCTGCTCATAGACTACGAAAAGGGCATTAGGAAAACGCCGGGCTGCCCAGGCGATGAGGGCCGCGGCACTCTCCGGCTCGAGGTAGGTCAGCACTGCCTCGGCCAGGAGCAGAGTGGGTGAGGCTGGGTCGAGACCTGCGGCTCCCAGAGCCTCGTCCACTCGCTGGAGCTGCCGCAGGTCCAGGCCCAGGATGCGGTAGTCCACGCTCTCAAAGTACAACGCGGAAGCTGGCTTGCCACTCTGGAAAGGCCCGGTCAACGCGCACAGCTCTGGCGTCTCTCTAATCCTCTCTGCTTTGCGCCGCGCCACGTCCGGAAAATCCACCTCCCAAACTGCAGCCCGGGCCAAGCGGCCCGCGGTTTTCAAGCGAAAATAGAGCGAGTCGAAACCGGCACCGAGGGACAAGATCTGAGCGCGCGGCGCGGCGTGGGGCACCAAAGTCTGCTCCAAGAAGGCGTGCACATAGTGCCTCACGGCGCGTGCGCGGACGTAGTAGCCTCGGTGAATGAGCGGTGCGCGGCGCCCCGCGCCCGGAACCAGCAACCCGACATAGGGGTCCTGCACGTACCCGCGCGCAGCCAGGGAACGCTTGCTGAGGGCGCTGCTGTCATTGGTGCTCTGTACCGCTCCTGTCCGACGCTCGCGGCTCTGGGGGCCCATGGCCAGAAGAGACCCGGAGTGGCAGTCTGTCACGGTCGTGAGCCGCCCCTTGGTTAGTATACTACACACCTTACGGACCTAGGTACGGAGAAAAACCACCCTTACTCCCGGACTTCCCCTTCCGCCGGCACGTGTGCGTCACTTCCGGGAAGTGCGCATCTCGCCAACCGGTCTTGGGAGAGTAGACGTGCTAAGTTCGCTTGCGGCTGACCTTTCTTTGATTGTCCTGGTTTCCGTTTGCCCCAGAATACTGCCCGCTACCGCTGTGACTTGTGTGTTAGGAAAGGCGGGTTGTCACGTTTCTACAAGGCTTTCAACCAAAAGGGAAGACTTGCCTTAGTCCTCGTAGTTGAGAAGTCTCTTAAGAGGTGAGTCCGTGGGGACTGACAGGATCTGGTAGGAGCAAAGAAGGGTGGGCACCAGGGACCTTCAGTGGGTAGGGATTAGTTAGCTTCTTTGGGTGCTAATAGTTGCTGATTTATTTAATCCTCTCAAAGTTGCAAAAGAGAACCTATTTAAACTGAAAACAAGTCACTAAGGCCAGGGTGCAAACTGAAGAAACCGACCTTTACAAATAGTTTGTAGATACTTAATAAGAAAACGTCTCCCACAGATATTAGAAAGTTGATTCCCGTGTATTCCCCGCCTTATCTTAGACTAACAGTGTATAAACCACTCATCCTCTCTTTCTCATCAGACCCCTTTCGACTTGGAGAATTCTGTGAATTTTAAAGTAGTGTTCAATATGTCCCCGGAAGGGGGAGTCACTGGGGAGAGATTATTGTTCCCTGTGATATATTCTGAGCCTCTTTTTTAAGGTGTAAATCCAGGTTGCAGTTCAAAATAATCACAAAGTTTCTAAATTGGATGTCTGGGAGTCATCCGTGGAAAACCACTTCCAGAGACGCTTGTTCACTGGCATTTGGTGACTGGCTGAAACAGAAAAGGAAATCAGATAACTTTATGATTAACTACAGGTGGTTCTGCATAATGGTTAAGAGCATGAGTTTTGGAGTCCAGCAGATTTGGATACTGGCATCAAGAAAAAGTTTGATATTTGTCTATGTTTTCTTGTGAAAAAAAAATAAGAAAAAGGTTTGAATCAGGATAAAGATTTGGTAATTGAAAACTGACATTTAGATTTGGTGTTTAAGAGCTCAGTAATGACCTTAGGGAGAGGAGTTTCTGTGGAGAAATGAGGGCAGAATCCATGTTTCAGTGAACAGGAGGTAAGTTAATGGAGAAATCCAGTCTAAATTATTATACTTTGGAAAAGTTTAACTCACAAGGAAAAGAGTTAGGGCAGTGGCTAAAGAAGAATGTGGGTTAAAAAGACTTTTGTTTTCAAGTGGAAGCAAATACTGCACTTGCATTTTGGTCCTGTGAGGAAAATCAGCCATTGGAGAGGGAGAGGTTTAAGGAACAGAAAAATGAGAAGATAATTCACTGGTAGAGTAGCTTGGAATAGACAGAAATGGGATCCTGGGCACATATTAGTTGTGGGGTTAGGAGAATGAATCCTTTGTCTGTGACTCCTGAAGGGGTTAAAAAAAAAAAAAAAGATTATGGATAATCAAGCTTAGGTGTGAGGTAGGGCAGAGAGAAAAAGAAGGAATTTACACCTGATGGCTTCTGTTTTCTCTGTAAAGTTGGTGGAAGAGTTGTCAGTTTAGTGTAAGGCCATTAGATCTGATGGAACGTTTGAGGAGTTTGAGAATTGCTTCCGAGGGGATCAGAAGGAGGGCTTATCTATGCCTACTGGGTCATTGGATCCTTATCTCTAAAATGAGATTAAGTACTGCTTTGGGAGGTATTTCAGGGTTGATTGAGGGCCAAATAGAAAAAAGAAAGAGTTGAAAGACTGAAAAATACATAGCACTACAGTAACAAATTTGTTTAATGACAAGTTCCTAAAATGTAGATGTGATGTCAAAAATATTGCTTTTTTTTGCAAAGACCAGATCAAGAAAAGTAATTCAAGAAGAAAGAGAATGGAGTAGGCCAAGTGCGGTGGCTCACACCTGTAATCCCAGCACTTTGGGAGGCCAAGGCGGTTGGATCACGAGGTCAGGAGATCAAGACCATCCTGGCCAACATGGTGAAACCCCCGTCTCTACTTGGGAGACCAAGGCAGGGGAATCGCTTGAACCAGGAGGTGGAGGTTGCAGGAAGTGGAGATTGCACCATTATACTCCAGCCTGGCAACAGGGCAAGACTTCATCTAAAAAAAAAAAAAAGGAAAGCGAATGGAGTAAAATTTGTGATTTGGATGCCTTATGATTGTGTGGGGTGTTTAAATCTCAATTTATTATATAATATGGGGATAATAATACCTCTTGGGTTGTTTTAAGGATTTAAACAAAATAACTAAGACACCATAGTGCCTGGCTCATAGTAAGTGCGTAATAAACAGTAACAAATATTTTTATTATTATCAGTTCCCTTTGGGGGAGTAGGTGGGAGCATAAAGAAAGCTCCATGGGAGACAATATACTTGCTTCTGGCCCTGTGCTAATATTGATGAAATATTACTAATGTGAATCTTATCCCAGTGTTTGTTGCCTTCTGGCCCAGACCAAAACTAGTGTAGAAATGTTAGATTTGGCATGGCATGCTATTGTTGGTAGCAGTGTTTTAGGCATGGAACAAATAATTTTTTTAATGTATAAAGATTTTGATTGCTTAGTTGCTTTTTAATTTCCATAGGTTGACATTGTAGCCAGTAGGTCAGTAAATTTACTCACAGCTAGTTAAAGGTCAGTCTGGAGGATGGTTTGAATGGGGCACAAATTAAGGTCAGGATCCTGGAGTAAAAGTGAAAATCTGGCCAGGCACGGTGGCTCACTTGACCCCAGGAGTTCGATACCAGTCTGGGCAACATGGTGAGAACCCATCTCTACAAAAAAAAATTTTATTTAAAATTAGCCAGGCGTTGTGGTGCATGCCTGTGGTCCCTGCTACTTGAGAGGCTGAAGTGGGAGGATACCTTGAGTCTGGGAGCTTGATAAGGCAGCTCCCAGAGCTCCTACTGCAGCTCCTACTTTGATTTTCAAAGTAGCCACCTTGACTTTCTGGGTTCTTGCATATTAATGATGATGACGTTTAAGAATAACAGTTTCCATGTGTTCATGGAACACACTTAAATTAATCACTTAAGTTAGTTTTAGAGGGGCTTTGCCTTTTAAAGAAAAAAATTAGCAAAATCCTGTTTCTTTGCTTTTATGTTAACGTCTGAAAATATTAACATTTGTTAAAATAGGTGAAACTGAACCCAGAGCTACACATACAGCTAATCTTATCAAAATGTGTGGAAGTAAAGCAATCTGAAGGAAATTCGGCACCATACAATTTACTGACTGAAATACATCATATTATTCATACCAAGAATAAGAGTGGAGAAGGACCATTTTTTTTCCTGCTAAAATAATGGATGCAGAAGAACAGCTACGGAAGACAGACTTTTATTCTGAATTGCCAAAAGTGGTGAGAATTCAACTACAGAAATCTTGAGTGATTGCTAATTGTAATTACTTTTATGTTGTTTCTTTTCATGAAAGTAAATTTTGGCTGGGCACAGTGGCTCACGCCTGAAATCCCAGCACTTTGGGAGGCCAAGGCGGGTGGATCACCTTGGGTCAGGAGTTTGAGACCAGCCTGGCCAACATGGCAAAACCGCCATCTCTACTAAAAATACAAAAATTAGCTGGGCGTGGTGGCATGCCTGTAGTCCCAGCTACTTAGTTGGTTGAGGCAGGATAATCACTTGAACCTTGGAGGTGGAGGTTGCAATGAGCTGATATTGCACCAGTGTACTCCAGCCTGGGTAACAGAGTGAGACTCCCATCTCAAAAAAAGAAAAAAAAAAAAGAAAAGAAAAAAAGGCAAAATTTGTAAACTTTGTTATATAGCTAAATCTGGTAATCAGTTTGCCTGGTGCAAACTACAAACATCAGGTAGCTGGTATGATGCTATGAATCTATTGGATATTTGGTAAGTTTTCTGGTTGTATCTCTTGTCTTAGGAACTTCATGCCCACTTGAATGGATCCATTAGTTCTAATACCATGAAGAAATTAGTAGCCCAGAAGCCAGATCTTCATATCCATGATCAGATGACTGTGATTAACAAGGGAAAGAAAAGAACTTTAGAAGAGTAAGTGTGGGGAGGTTGTGGGCGTACTTCTTTTTCTTTATCAGTACTTTGAGATTGTAAGTAGTATGTAAGAATTCAGATTTTAGTAGTTAACAGAAATAGGGTTGGCATCTGGCATGGAGCATGTCTCTTAACATACAACATTTTTTTTCCAGCTGTTAGACTGTTGACAGTATTTTTAGTGATTTCTGTTGTTTGTGAAGTTATAACATATTGGGATATTCTTTCTTTTCTTTTTTTTTTTTTTTTGAGACAGGATCTCACTTCGTTGTCTAGACTGGAGTGCAGTGGCGTGACCACAGCTCGCTGCTGCCTCAACCTCTGGGGCTCAAGCAGTCCTCCCACCTTAGCATGCTGAGGAGCTGGGACCGCAGATGCATGCCACCATGACTGGCTAATGTTTTTCGAATTTTTTTAGAGATGGGGTTTCCCTCTGTTGCCCAGGCTGGTCTCAAACTCTTGGGCTCAAGCTATCCACTTGCCTTAGCATTTCAAAGTTCTGAGATTACAGGCATGAGCCATCATACCCAGCCTGGGTTCGTCTTTAGATTTGAAAATATAGGCAAATTAAATCTCTCGGTGTCGGGTGGATTGCAGAAAGGAAACTATTGTTTCCCACTGAAAAATATCAGTAATGTTTTATTTTCAGTCATTTGATTATCTTTCCAGATCAATGTAGTTTTTGAAACATTGATTCTGTAGTTCTTTGTAAATACAAATATATATTTACCATTAGCCTAAAATTCTATTCATTCAGTTAGTGAGTTTCTTTGAGTGACAAGGTTTTGATGACTAGAATATGTTAAAACTTTTCATTCACTTTGCAGATGTTTCCAGATGTTTCAAACTATTCATCAGCTTACTAGTAGCCCTGAAGATATTCTAATGGTAAGACATGAAGGAATTTTTAGAATGGCTTAAAAATTATGAAGTAATTTCCTTCCATTATTGCACATGACTTTTTATTTTTGCTCTCATTAAGAATGATGAAAAATGTTTTCTCTTTTATGGCAACTCTTTGAAAAACCGACATAAGACATTTGCCTAAGAGCTAGTACAGAAAAACCGTATTTCTTATAAAAGATATGAGGAAAGAACCAGGAGGAGCATCTTTTATAGAATAGAGAATTATATGGGAGAGAAAATTTGGTCCTGTTTTTTATATGTTACATATATATATGAAATATTTGACCACAGAGAGGGATATCCTTGATAAGGCATTGTCTGTATTACATAAGAGACTTTTACTACATGGGTGGACATTATAGAGAATGAAGAAGTTCAGGAAGGGCTTAGAGAGTAAGTGATTAATCCCTAGGGAAATTCTGCCTTCCCTATGAGGTTACAAAGGATACCACTATGTTCTCTTATCTGAATCTCCATGATACTGGAGTCTGACATGGGAGATGGACTTCTGTATCATTGATTTGACTAGGATGACATTTTAAAATGTCTTTTTTGTAAATGGAGAGAAGCAAAATTGTGTCAGTGTTCTCAACCATTAGAAAAAAAATGCAAAGAAAGTATAACTTGTGTTTCTGGAGAGGTAACTTTTGACTGATCAAGAAAAAATTTTCCTCTTTGGTCAAGACTGATCTTTATGATAAGTGAAAAGTAAATTAATCACCTTTTAGAGGAGAGTTAACTCTAATAGTTTCATTCAGCAAAAAATGACTGACTGAGCACCCACAAATCCAGGCACTCTGCTAAAGTCTTAGAGAGATCGACACAGTCTCTGTCCCTGAGGAATTTACAATTAGATTGGAGAGACCCATAAGCAGATACTGCAACATAATGTGGTAAGCTCTGTGTTAGAGACACACATAGAATTTATAGGGACCCAAAAGGGCACTCTCTAAGCAGCCGCTCAAAAGATAACATGAACACTGCTAGGAATGTTCACCACAGGGCTCTGGTCTCACTTTGTTGGTGTTACAGAGCAAAATGATGAAATTTAAATTCCAGGAGTTTAGTACTCTATAGGTATAATAATGCCATGTTCATTGCTACATTCATTTCAAAGTGAAAGTTGAAAATCTCTGTTAAATGAGGTGAGAAGTTAAGAGTCTGTGCATTTGTCCTAGTGCTACTAGGTGGTTCAGGGGGTGACAATGACATGCTCCATATGATAAATGAAATGTATTTGAGAATAAGATAAGAGATTGTTTGTAAATGTAGAACTGAGTGTGAGGGAGATCACTTAAACTCTAGTCAAGGTGACCTGGGTATAATATCAAAGAGAGGATTGGAGTGTGGCTGAAAAAATGATACTCATTATTACATGTACCAGACATTATTCTTAGGACTACTTTCAGAAGTAGGTATTTTTATTGTTCCCTTTTGGTAGGTGAAGAAATAGGCTTAAAGAGGTTAAGTGTAACTCATTTAAGATCACACACACAGAGTAAGTGGAGGCTCTATCTGGTTGCAGAGCTCATGCTCTTTCCCATTCAAGCTATACAGTCTTAGAGTCTTTTGAGTAAGTAGGATCTTAACTAAGTGTGATGTACTCTGTCTGGAAAAAGTATTTGAATAGTTACTCTCAGTTCAGTGCATAGGAGAGGAAAGCCCAAAGAGGTGTCTTCAGTACCTACCGCACATCACAGAAAGGGCTAAATCTGGCAAAGACAGTTGTAGACCCCAGGGAAATGTTCTTGGATCTGGGTTGGGGATGATTCTCTAGACTTCACTGTGACCTAGATAAATCAAGTTCGTTTTGCTCTTGTTCCATACTTGTTAGTTTTTCATTGTTCATTTGGTTTTACAGAGAGCTAGCCACTCAGAAAGAGGGATAGTAGTCACTTCAGTCACTGCAAAGGACTACTATTTCAAACCCTCACTTTTACCCAACTCCTCACAGTCAAACAGGTTTCTGCATTAGTCTAATGTGAGCTGGGGTAGGTGAGTTTGTGTCTGTTCAGTTCTGGGACGATGATGACATCCAGATTCTTCAACCTATTAATATAAAGATGAGGCCGCAGTTTAGTAGTGTCAGTGACAGCAAGAGGGAGTTCGTGGAATAGCAGTGCCATGGGGCCAATGCCATTAATGATGGCATGGAGGCTGCAGTGTCATGCTCCTTGGTGGAGGCAGCAGTGGTATCTTGCTTGGTCCAGGAGTTTCATGTTTAGAATGCTGACATATTATCTTTGACTGTGTATTCTCAGAATCTGGGTCCCTAGACCTCTGGATGAAACTAAACTACCCATTCCACTTATGTTATAATAAGTTCATTTTTGTCTTTAGTGGTAAAAGAGACAAGAAGAGGCCAAGAACTTGGATTGCTATGAATTCACCAAGGTAGTGCCATACTGTTAGGCACTGTCTGTACAAACAGCCAGTCCCTGTTGCTTTGCCAGGACACTGCACTCGCATGCCTGTGTGCATGTATTAAAGCAGATTAAGATTAGGATACCAACTGTAAGGACTAATTAGGGAAATTTGTCACAGCTTCCCCAACTTAAGTCTTTTTTTCTTGTAGATTTTTTAGTTTGAAGGCGGAAAGGAAAAACATGCCTTCAGGAACTTTGGGATTATTGAGATTTGCACTAAATTGGATACAGTTTTATTCATTTTTATTACCTGCTTTCTTTGCCCTAAGTACTTCTCAAGAAAATTTAACCCTGCCAGAATTTATTGAAAAATATAACTTATTCCTAAATAACTTTAATAGAAACCTTAAGCCATGTCTTCCAATAACACATTAGTAATACCTAGTCATTTTAGCTGTTTATTTCTGGATGTCCATTTCCTAGCTGTCTACACATATAGATGGTTCTGACTGGTTGTAGTTTTGCCTCATTTATTTATTGTATCAATCTGCTATTATAAATACTAGGAAATAGAGAAATGTTTAAAAGGGAAAAGAAATAAAAGATGTAGCTAATGTACAGATTGGGATTTAATGTGGGAATGGGGATGATGGGAGTGATTGGAAATATTGCTGCTCTGCATGGTCTCCATCAGGGATGTGACAAAGTGGATAACCTCTACCATGTGGGAAACTTCCAACATTTCTTGCAAATCAAATTTAATGAATAAAGTGAAGCTGTAGCACTTGGCGCATTCATTGGGACCCTTACATAAACATTATTAATATTTTTACATTATCTTTATTATCAGGTCACAAAAGATGTCATAAAAGAATTTGCAGATGATGGTGTCAAGTACTTGGAACTAAGGAGCACACCCAGAAGAGAAAATGCTACTGGTAGAATTTAGTCTTCTCAGCAAATGTACTATCCTTTTCCCTTGTGCTTTGATCACGTTTGTGAGTGGGAGTATGAAGTACTGGGAGTATGAAGCACTAACTTTTACACTATTGTATTGTTCTATATTTCATTGAACCTTCTGTATTTCATTGAACAGTCCAAGTCCTCTCTCTGATGTACATTGATGATGTTCATTTTGTTTGTTTGTTTTGGAGACAGGGTCTTGCTCTCTTGCCTAGGCTGGGGTGCAGTGGCACAAACATAGCTCACTGTAACCACAAATTCCTGGGCTCAACAATCACCTCAGCCTCCAAAAGTTCTGGGATTACAGGTGTGTGCCACCGCACCCATCCCAGTGTACTTTATTAATAAGTGAGTTATTCTTAAGTAAAAAGTAGGAAAATTCCAGTCAGGCATTATCTGTTTAAGGAAGGAAACAAAAGCCTGCAACAATTTCTTTTGTTCTTCCTTGTTTAGTTGTTTTCACTCTGAGAAAAAGATACCTCCTCCTTATAGTTTCATTGTCACAAGCAGAGGCTGATTCATGCTCCCTGCATCACAGGCACTTATGAGACAATGCCGCTGAGTGGATGCAGAATCATGTTTTATGGTAGTTACTGAAATGTAGATTATTCATTCGCTTCACAGGGAATAGTTTCTTAGGCCAGGAGCAACCTGTGATGTGGTAAAACCTCTTAGAATAGAGATGAGATCTGGATATGATCTGAAGGAATTTTCTGAGATCCTCCTTCTATAAGAGCAGCATCAGGAGACATTGGGGTCCTCTTAGCAGCTTGTTTATGACCCAGAGAGACCTAGGTCATCTTGCATGCTGATATGTGTAGCTCAGTAATCATTTGGGGGTTAAATTTTCGGAACTATTATTGTAAAGTAAGTGTTCACATGAGATAAGGAGAAGGCTCTCATCTTGCATTTTTGAACCATAGAATCAGTTCCACATTTCGCTGGTGAGAGTACTGAAAGGGAAGGAGAGAAGAAACTTGCCAAATAGTAGGACTCTTTAAATGGAGTTTCAAAAGAAGGATATTAACCTAAATATGCAACAGTAGAGGAATGGTTAAATAAAGGCTAATGAAATATTAGGCAACCATTAAAAATACTGGTGAAGACACTTTAATGACATGAGAAAATACTCAGAATCATGGTAAGTGACTGAACTGGGTAAACATATACCTAGTAGCATCTCATCTATTTAAAAATGTGCATATGGGCAGAGTGCAGTGGCTCATGCCTATAATTCCAGTGCTTTGGGAGGCTGAGGCAGGAGGATCACTTGACTTCAGAAGTTTGAGACCAGTCTGGGCAATATAGTGAGACCCACCTCTACAAAAAAAAATATTTTAATTAGCCAGACATGGTGGTATACACCCGTAGTGCTAGTTACTCAAGAGGCTGGAGCAGAAGGATCACTTGAGCCTGGGAGGTCAAGGCTGCAGTGAACCATGATGTTGCCACTGCCCTCCAGCCTGAGCAACAGAGAGAGACCTTTAAAAAGGTCTCTTGAAATAATAAATAAAAATAAATCTGTATATGTATACTTAAAATGTTACAGAATATCCAGGAGACTGGAGAGACCAAGGGGTGAAACAGGAGGATTTTATTAAAGTGGCCACCGGTTCAGCGGATTAGCGTCCCAAGTCTGAGCCCAGGAGAAAGAAAATGGGATAATTTTTATACATCCAGGATGATGTAGCAGCTAACAGGTTTACAGAAGTCAGAACAAAGACCAGTTAATTAATTTGTAACATGCCTTGTGATGTACATTACATTTGAAAAATAGCATTTTGAGAAACACGTTGTACATTCTGTGGGTGTTATCGTGCTCTGTGACCTTGCCGCTGGTTAACAAGAAAAACAGGAATCTTGAGATGCTTGGGAACCTTGCTGAGAATGTGGGGAGAATAAATAAGATAGGTTTTACAGGGACTTAGTTAATTTTAAGCAGAGCTGGGGGTTAGGTTTTCTATTAAACAACACACAACACAGCAAAATTTACTTTATTACTGTATGTAGCAACTACAAATTACAAGATTTTGTTTTTACTATTATTGCTATTATTTAATTCCCTCCCCCAAAAACACGGTAGTCATCTCGGGGGGAGGGGGAGATTTATTTATTTATTTATTTATTTATTTTTGAGACAGAGTCTTGCTCTGTCACCCAGACTGGAGTGCAATGGTGGGATCTCGGCTCACTGCAACCTCCACCTCCCAAGTTCAAGTGATTCTCCTACCTCGGCTTCCCTAGTAGCTGAGACGACAGGCGCGTGCCATCACGCCTAGCTCATTTGCATATTTTTAGTAGAGACAGGGTTTCACCATGTTGGCCAGGGTGGTCTTAAACTCCTGACCTCAGGTGATCTTCTTGCCTTGGCCTCCCAAAGCGATGGGATTACAGGCATGATCTACCACGCCCTATTTTTATTTTTATTTTTATTTATAACTTTCTGTATTTTACCAGAGACTTTCCACCAAACGTAAGCATTTTACAGTCTGGGTAAAAGAGTATTTTATTCTTCCCAATGTAGCCTAAAGAAAAAGAAAAGAAGGTATTTTACAGGAGGTTGTTCTGGAGAGCACTCTTGCAGATCTCCCCAGAGAGCAGAGCACTCATACTTAGAAGAACATGCCTGGTTCCCTGGATGAGAAACAGTAAGCCTGAGCAGGATTGAGGGGAAAGGAACCCAAGTTAGGATTTTTTTTCTGGACCAGGAGAGAAAATGTCCCTTTTTTTTAAATTTAAAACAAAACAAAACAGAACAGGATGGATGTGATGGCTCATGCTTGTAATCCCAGCACTTTGGGAGGCCAAGGTAGGAAGATCACTTTCAACCCAGGAGTTTGAGACCAGCCTGAGCAAGATGGCAAAACCCCATCTCTACTAAAAGTCCAAAAACTAGCTGACCATGTGGTACACACCTGTAGTCTCAGCTACTCAGGAGGCTGAGGTGGCAGGATGGCTTGAGCTCAAGAGACAAAGGTTGCGGTGAGCCAAGATTGTGCCACTGCACTCCAGCCTGGGTGACAGCCACACCCTGTCTCAAAACAAAACAAAAAAAGTCTTTATCTTTTTTATTTCATTTCTCTAGTACTTCATTTTCCCCCAATTTTATTAAAATATAATTTGCATTTACTGAAATATACCCGTAAAAGCCATGTTTTCACTCATCTTTAACCATGCTCTTGTCATAGCATAAAGTAAAAATGTAATTGTTTATATAGGATTACTGAAGGTGAAGGATGAAATAGTTGATGATTTCTTTACATGTATTTTCTATGTGTCCTTTTCAGGAATGACTAAAAAGATTTATGTGGAATCTATACTTGAAGGTATAAAACAGTCCAAACAAGAAAACTTAGACATTGATGTTAGGTAAGAAGATTGTACCTTAGTAGTTAAAATTTACAGAACCAGAATGTGAATTTGAATTTTTACTGTTTTTATCATGGGTGTAATGGATTTTTAAAAATTAAGCATTAATTGATTTCTACAATAGAAAAATAAAATCAGGAACCCTGTTTAAAGCGAGAACACAATTCTGAATTTATTCACATGGCAGTGAAAATTTGAGTATTTTTATTTGAGTAAAGTATGGTGTTTTTGTCGTTCAGCTAAAATGAACTTCTTGCTGTGGCCCACGAGGTCCCATGTGACCTGGCTGCCTCTCTTACTTCAGCAGCTCATCTAGACCACTCCTCCTCCCTTACACGTGTGCCTACTGTCTGTTCCTAAAATATGCAAAAAAGACTGTCCCCCTTCAGCACCTGTGTTTAGTACTCCCCAGAACACATTTCTTTTTTTATTTTTATTTTTCTTTTCTTTTTTTTTTTTTTAAAGACGGGGTTTCACCGTGTTGGTCAGGCTGGTCTTGAACTCCTGACCTCAGGTGATCCGCCCGCCTTGGCCTTCAAAGTGCTTGGATTACAGGCGTGAGCCACTGCGCCCGGCCCCCAGAACACACTTCTACCAGATTCCTGCCCAGCTGGCTTCTTCTCGTATTTCAGCTCTCAATTTAGCTGTCACTTCCTCAGAGGGGCCTTCCTTTACCACTCTGTCTAAATTGCCCTGCTAATCCTCTTTCCTTTATTTTATTTCCTTTGTATATATGCCCACCCACTAGAGTGTAAGTGTAGTAAAGCCAAATAAATTTCCTTTGTATATATACCCACCCACTAGAGTGTAAGTTTAGTGAAGCCAAGGACCTTGTTTTTTGATTCACCACTACATCTTTAGTACTTACCACAAAGTAGGTTCATAGTAGGGGCTCAGTAAAGCCCTAAATGAAGAAAGGAAAAAAGGTAGCTGTATAGTTTCAGGCTATAAGACTCTAAAAATTAAGCTTAACTAGACTAATACACCAATGAAAAACCAAGCAGAAGGCAAGAATAGAATGCAGAAAAGAAGACATAAAAATAGCTGCTAAATGTATAGAAATACATAGAAAACTAACTCATTAGTCTTATATTACAATGCTGTTTCAATAGGCTAAAAAAAGGTAATAACCCATGTTTATAAAGTTATGCACTGCTGGTAAACGTATGTAATTAATAAAACCTCTTTAAATCCTGCACTTGTATACAGGTAAGGGGGAAAAAACCTCTCTAAAGAGCAATATATGTCAAGATTTATAAAAAAAGTTTTTCCCTTTGACCCAGTAATTCTCTGCTAGAAATGTATCCTAGAAAATAGATTGATTTATGCATGATTCCATATTATAATGTTATTTATAACAAAAATTAGAAAATATCCTAAAATGTCCAGCATTCAGAGGACAATTACCTTATGATATGTTCATATGATTTATACTATTTCTAACATTATTTTAAAGGCATGGGAAGTTGCTGAGTGAAGAAAAAGATATAGCATTTTATATATAGTAGATCTAAATTTTGTAAATACATAAATGAGCAAATACTGAAAGAATTTATGTTGTGAATAAATAGTAAGCTAATAACCGCTGAAGAAAAATTACAGGGCTTCTCTGGATATTCAAGAAATATTAACAGGCCAAGCACTGTGGTGGTTCATGCCTGTAATCACAGAACTTTGGGAGGCCAACATGGGTGGATCACCTGAGGTCAGGAGTTCGAGACCAGCCTGGCCAACATGGCGAAATTCTGTCTCTACTAAAAATACAAAAATTAGCTGGACTTGGTGGCAGGTGCCTGTAATCCCAGCTACTTAGGAGGCTGAGGCAGAAGAATCACTTGAACCCAGGAGGCAGAGGTTGCAGTGAGCTGAGATCATGCCATTGTACTCCAGACTGGGTGATGAGCCAAACTCTCAAAAAAAAAAAAAAGAGAAAAAGAAATATTAACAGGGATTCTTTGAGTATTCAAGTCCTATAAAATTACAGCTAATATTTGAAGAATGACCTTATATCAGATATTTGATACATTTTATAATGAAAATATTACTATTTTTGTAACCCCTAATAGAATAATGGATCTAAGCCTCCTAAAAACACACCACCACCGGTTTACTCTTGAGTTTACTTTTGCCAGAAAATGGAATCTGATCTGCCTCTAGACTAGATAGGAAATATAAGAAATAGGAAAACATGTTAACAACACAGGGATACAGTCTACAAAATCCAGACCATGGAAAACTGTAGGACAAACAACTTGGTTTCTTCAACAAATAAGTTACAAGAAAAGCAGGGTGGGAGGTGGGAGGAGAGGAAGGGGTGGTTGTAGATTAAGAGAGGCTTAGGTGATACATTGACTTACACAAAGCGTGGACGTTGTTGGGATCCTGAATCAGACAAACCGAAGAAACAAATACAGGAACAAAAAAACCTCAAAAGACAACTGGAAATCTGAACACTGACTAGGTGCTTGATGCTGTTTAGGAATTCATGTCTCAGTCTGTATGGCAAAGTAAAATGTCATGTTGTCTAGATTCAGTCAGGCTCTTCTTTTCCTAGTGAGATGTATTACATGTGGTCTGCTGTCTCTGGCCACACTCACAATTGTCTTTTTAATCTGCATCATATTAGTTTTCAGCTCCGTCTTTCTTATGTTAAAGGTATTTGATAGCAATTGACAGAAGAGGTGGCCCTTTAGTAGCCAAGGAGACTGTAAAACTTGCTGAGGAGTTCTTCCTTTCTACTGAGGGTACAGTTCTTGGCCTTGACCTCAGTGGAGACCCTACTGTAAGTTATTTTTCCTACATAGATTTTAATTCTAAAAGGTAGAATCAGTTAGTGGGATAAGGACTAGCTTTGGGTATCTTGCATTGCATTCTCCATAGTGTCCAGCAGACACTCGACTCTGTGGATGAAGGCCTGTTCTGCCCTGGATGACTAGAATGCCTACAGCAGCTTTCATCCAAGGTTCTGTGAAAGAATTAAGTACCCTAAAAAAAGAAAAAAAAAAAAAAGAGTTGCCTGACTCTATGACTATTTTCTCCATTCTTCTGAAGATGGTGCACAACTGGTACCAGACTATATGCACTATAATGTAATTCATTACATACAATGAATGGATGTCTTAGGATATTAGGGCTTAGCCATCTCATAGGTAGTTGAGAAATGTTGGCCGGAGCTTCTTGAATGTCAGATTGAAGCAGAAATCTTGATATTTGGGGCTGAATAATTTGTTGTGGGGCTGCCCTGTGCCTTGTAGAATGTTTAGCAGCATCCTTGGCCTCTACCCACTGGATGTCAGTAGCACTCTCCCATCTGTAACAACCAAAAATGTCTCCAGACATTGCCAAATGTCCCTTAGGGGGCAGAATTGCTCCTGGTTGAAAACCATTGAATAGGAGAGTCCCATGAAACTGATTCTTACGGCTTTGTCCAAACCTGGACTGTATGTACTCCCCTTTTTTTTATCCATCTGTTTAACAGAGGTATTTTGAGTAATCATGAGGGTTCCTGAATCAAGTGAGTGAGGTCTCCTTAGCACTGAATATCTAGGTGTCCTTCCAGGCATAAAATTTAGTGACTGCTATATCCAGCTTAGCTGATTGACCTCAGTTTATTGATAATAGACAAGATTCTCAAGAGCAGGGCCTGTTGCCAGCTTTGTATTCAGCAAAGTGGCTAGCACATTGTAGGTGTTTTATAAACAAGATGTGCAAATGAATTAATCTACCATTATTTTTTTCTCCCATTATGTTATTTGTTTATTGGAATGGAGTACTCAATTCCTCAGTTTTCCCAGAATTCTCATGCCTCCTCATTAAAACTTTTAAAGGTAGGACAAGCAAAAGACTTCTTGGAACCTCTTTTAGAAGCTAAGAAAGCGGGTCTGAAGTTGGCATTGCATCTTTCAGAGGTAAAAAATATTGTCTTAGGCTAGAGGGAACAGATTATAATAGAAAATAAGAGAGTCATTTGTAAGTTACTAGAAATAAACCTGGATTGGAAAAACATTTTTTAAAAAGGAAAAGTAGAAATATTTTAAAATCTAAATTTAAAAAGACATGACTTGCTTTAGTCTCTGGTGTTACTGTTTTTATCCTTTTGTGGTTCTTCGGAGTGGCTGTTAAATGCCAGTTGTGTCATTTAAAAGCAGCTTAATGACATCTTGCTAGAGAAAAATGTATGAATTTCCAACATCAATCTTGTCATTGGCAAGCTGACTCTAAGAAAAGTACCAATTTATCTCACCTGTCCTCATAGCAAAAGGGACTTGATTGTATCACATGCACTGGCAATAAAGGAAGCAGCATGTCACTTTACAAAGCCTGGCAAAGAGGTCCAGTGCCCCTCATAAGACCCAAGCTTGCGGGTAACATGAACATAGTGACAGATAATTGCTGGGAAGTAGTCACTTTCTTTAGCACATCCCTGTAAGGCAAACAGGGGACTCTGCTGCAATTTTCCCCATTTTATAGATGGATTTATTTATTACCTCAGTACTTCTCTCTATTTGTTTCTTAAATGCAGAAAATAATACTTAAGTCTACTTACCTCACAGAGTTACTGTATTAAAGGAGTAATGTGTAAAGTTTGAGTAGCATCATGATTTAAAGATTGAGGAAGAAAATCAGAACCTCTTGCCAGTACACTTGTATCTTTCATGTCTGTAAGCAGAGGGTCAGTAATCTAGTGGCAGGACTTAAAATCTGGAATCCATGTTTCCACACTCGAACCCAAAAGACCTTTCACCCATAGGGCATCCTATGGCTGACCTAACTGATGCGTGATGGACACCACTGGTCATTTTAAAGGAACAGCATGTTTGACGGTGTGCACACACGCACATCTCTAGCCTTGTGCACAACATCAGAGCTTGCTCTTTACCTTAGTTTCTGTTGCTTTTATCATACAGTCCATTGGATAGAAAACATTTCATTTAAAAATGTTGTAAGCATTTTTGTTTTGCGCTATCTAGGAGCTAAAGAGCACAGCCAGACATTTTGATGGTGACTGTGGTATGTAGGTAGCCAGCCTTGTCAGAATAAACGTGATGAGCACACTATGTGAGGAAAGCAACTGGGCCCTGGAGTCAGACTGAGTTAAGTTTTACCCTTAATCTCTACCATTCACTAGCTCTATGGCCTTGGACAACTTTTTTTAAAAAAATGCTTTATATTTTTAACTATAAGAGTCATGTATACCTGAAAAAAATCCAAGCCTCAAGAAGGAAAAGAATTAAAAATTAAAAGCCAAGTTTCTATTTGTTTTGCTCCCCAGAGTTAATATTGTTAACAGTTTCGTGTTTATCTTTTTTCAGAACTTTTTACAATATATATGAACACATGTATACAACACAGAGCACACATGCATGTAGAGTTGTGAAGTTTTTTTTTGAAAATTAATGTTTCTCAGCTTTAATTTCTTCATCTTAATACCTTGTAAGATTCTTGTGAGACCTTAAAGAATTTGTGTGAAAAGGCACAAAGTAGGTTCTTAATAAGTATTTATTATTATCATTGAAATGAATCTAGAAGAATATTGGGAAAATAATGAGAAGATAAAGGTAAAGAGAGCTAGGAAGGCAGAAGTAGTTCAGTTTTCCAGGTCTGCATTAAATACTACTCAGAGGGGTAGGGTACCTAGCTATAGAAAAAAGTACTCTAAGAGGCCACTGATGATCCCCTTTCCCCGTCTTTGTTAAGATTCCAAACCAAAACAAAGAAACACAAATACTCCTGGATCTCCTTCCTGACAGAATTGGGCATGGAACATATCTCAACTCTGGTGAGGGAGGATCCCTAGATCTGGTGGACTTTGTGAGGCAACATCGGATACCACTGGGTAAGGTTTGGAGTTTCAGGTCTTCCAGACAACTCTCTGTTCCTCCCCCAATCCCTAGGTTGCAACCCATATGTGGAGAGGTACTGTTCTAAAAGGACGAATGTCATCTAGCTATTAAAAGATGCGTGGAATTTGTGCTTTCTGAGCCTATTTAAGTAACAGAAAGCTTTAGCTTCCACTAAAATACAAGGTCTATGTAACTCAATAAGAATTTTTTAAAGGAATAAAGGGTCATCTAAAACTTTGAAATGATTTAAACAAAATTGATGTGTTATGAAAATGTAACATTATTTAAAAATTAAGCATTATGGAAAATCGCAAATATATTTTCACATGTCTGTTGATCATTACACACTTGATTGTGTTTATGAAGTGTCTACTTTGCTGTCATTGCTGTTGATAGAACAGTACACAAAACAGGCAAGATTTCTTTCCCAAGCCACTCATATTCTAGCAGAGGGAAGACAGTAAACAAATATACAAGAAAACATTAGTGTTCTAGGAAGAAAATTAAACAGGCTGATGTATTAGTGATTGTATAGCCACTTTTGATTGGATAGTTAGAAAAGGACTTTCTAAAGAAGGAAAAAGTGGTTGGCTGCATCCCATTTTATGGAATGATGAATTTACTAAATTTACCAATTTATAAAAATGTTTGTGTGAGTGTTTTAACTATAAGAGTTTCAGTAATTCATAATGCGTGAGATATTTTTTTAAACTAAGGAAAATTTTAAAAATCCACAAAAGTGGAGAGAGTGGGAACCACTTGCATAGTGATCTTACTTGGTGTGGTGGCCTAGCTCTGCTCCCAGCAGAGTAAGGGGGCAGTTTGGGTTTGTCATCCCTTAAACTAAGTAAGCCTGTGTTGAGGCTGCCTTACTCAAGTGAGCAGATGCCATCCATCAAGTCAGTAAGGTATTTTGCTCTGGCTAAGGAGCCTGGTAATGTTTCCAGGAAGGAATTTATTAATAGTAGGAGTCATTCTTAGGATGGACTTAACTTACCTATAAGCAGAAGGAGGTGAATAGATGATTGTCTGGGTGAAAGTGTTAAGGGGTTCTTAGAAGCCATGGCAAAGTCCCTGCTCATTCTTAGTGCTTTATAATGCTCTAATTCTCATGCAGTGCTACAGTTTTCTTACCTTTGTTTTGGCTTCCACCATTAGACCAGGAGGGATTGCAGTAGCTTTTCAAAAAACCCTTCTCCTATCATGATAATTCCCTGCCTTTTTCATTATGACTGGCTTATGACATTCCTCCTTCCTCTCTATTTTGGTCAAAGAAGGAGAAGTGCATGGCTTTGAAAGGCATATTAATTCTTTGCCTGGTAGCACTGTTGCCATTAGTTGCAGCACATACTTCCTGTGCAGCTACACTAATTGAACTACAGTTTTCACACATAAGGAAAGATTGACTTTGTAAACTAATAAACTACTTTAAATTAGCAAAATTGGGAAAGATTTCTCATGTGTCTATTTGGTGAACATTGAATGAATTCACTTATTTGCTTTTAATGAGATTTTCCCCCCCTTTTCATATAGAACTCTGTTTGACCTCAAACGTCAAAAGTCAGACAGTTCCATCTTATGACCAGCACCATTTCGGATTCTGGTACAGCATTGCCCATCCTTCTGTGATCTGTGTAAGGTGTTCTGTGTAAAGTATTTTGCTCCCTTTTGCTCTCTGAGTTGCATTAAGTCAGATGTTCACTATCTGGCAGACTGCCTTGCATGCCTGAGGATAATGCTCAAGTAGAGGAGTTAGAAGGGAATGGGGCATAGCTGGGTGTGGTGATGCATGCCTGTAATCCCAGCTATTTGGGAGGCTGAGGCAGGAGAATCACTTAAACCCGGGAGGTGGAGGTTGCAGTGAGTGGAGATCGTGCCATTGCACTCCAGCTTGGACAACAAGAGTGAAACTGTATCTCAAAAAAAAAAAAAAGGGACTGGGACATGAGAGGCTGCAGAGGGCCAGGGTGGCTCTGGATTGGCTCTATTGCAAAAGGTACTTGAGAGAACTTCGAAACAAAACAAAACAAAAAAAATGAAACAGATGCTCTGCAACCATCCCATAAGATTTTGCTGCTTTATTTGATCTGGGGTGAGTCCTGGGCATAGATAGGCTTTGAAACCTCCTTAGGTAATTTTAATATACAGCCAGAGTTGAAACACTGTTCTGGTATCTTAAAGTATTAAGTCTGTTTAGTTACAGCTATGCATAGATAAATTTATATGCCCTTGTTTAGACTCTTGAAAGAAGTATAGTAAATAGGAAAAATAGACTCTGAACAAAAAGGTGGTTATTTTTTGAAAAATCATTCCTTTTTCATTTTGAAATGTTCTTGTTTACATTGGCAGACTGATGATAAGGGTGTTTTTGCAACACATCTTTCTCAAGAGTACCATCTGGCAGCTGAAACATTTAATTTGACACAGTCTCAGGTGTGGGATCTCTCTTATGAATCCATCAACTACATCTTTGCTTCTGACAGCACCAGATCTGAACTGAGGAAGAAATGGAATCACCTGAAGCCCAGAGTGTTACACTTCTAAGCTGTAATGAGGTGAACTACTTCTGAGTATGTGTTGAATCAAGGTGTTCCTGCTATGGCATATCCCACTTAGTAAAACAGTCCACCATTTCTTTGAAGCATAGCAGCCAAGTTCCATGGGCTCCATCATCAGCAACCTTACACCTGGCAGGTGCTCAGTAAATATGTCTTCAACTGACACACAAGCTCTCAGGTGCTTACTGGATGGTACCTGACTGTTGCTAATTAAATCCCCAGTCTACCAGTGATTATTTTGACTCAGCAGTCCTTCCCCATTAGTAATCATAAAACTTCAGGGAAATCAAAGTCTCTCATTTTGATTTGTTTTAGAATTACTAGCATAAGGTTAGGAAAGGCTAATATACATTTTTTGCTTCCTTTGCTGCACATGCCACCCCATGTCTTCCACAAAGACTTTACTTAGGTGCATAGATGCTCTTGCTCCCTTAACAGTGGGCTTGTTTTCTCTTTCTCAGAATGTTTGAAGATATTTCTTGTTGCTTTTATCTGAGGAATGGCAGGTTGGGCAGCATGTAATTGTTGTGAGATAGTTTGACATCAACTGGGTTTTCACCTGGTAAGCAAGTTGGCCCTTGCCCTGTTCCTTCTGCACATTCCATTCTTTTCATCTGGAGTTTTGAGGGTTGGCTCTGGGTCTTTAAAGTAAGCCTCAGCTGAGTTGGTCACAGTGGCTCATGCCTTTAATTCCAGCACTTTGCGGGGCTGAGGCAGGAGGATTGCTTGAAGCCAGGAGTTCAGAAGCAGTCTGGACAACATAAAGAGACCGCCCCCCCCCATCAATACAATAATTTAAAAAATTAGCTGAGTGTCTTGGCTCATGCCTGTAGTCACGTCTATTGGGAAGGCTGGAGATCGCGCTGAGCCCAGGAGTTTGAAGCTGCAATGACATATGATGGCACCACTGCATTGCAGCCAGAGTGAGATCCTGTCTCTAAAAAATAAATTTTTAAAACTTTAAAAATAAGATTCTGCATGCCCAGTATCTTGGGTCCTAATTTATTGTGGATATGGATAGAGGTACAAAGGAAGGATATGCATTCTAATTTCCCTTTTACCACAATCTGAATTATTTCTTTTTCTAGAATATAAAGATTCAGATAAAGATACTTCCAGTAACCCCACATAGGGAGCTTAAAAAAAAGTTAAGATTGATCTTTTCCTACCATCCACAACTTGATCATAATTTGCCTATATTACACACACACACACATACTCTTGTAGAAACACCAGGCACTTTATAGACATAATTTTTATTAACATGGTATCCCTGAGAGGCAGTTAGGTGTAAACATTTTGCTTTACAGAAAGGGAAATGGAGGCAGGTTAACTTACACACAAGACATCCGGAACCAGAATATCTGTTGATACCCCAACCAATGTTTTTCCCACAAGACTATACTTAGATATACTAAAGACAGTAATCTTTTTTTTTTTTTTGACATTACCACATACTTCCTAAACCATCTGAGATCCTGAGGCACTGCTTCAGACTGGTGTTTGCTGTAGCTTCCTGTCTCCTTAGGCAGCATAACAGAAGTACCATCCTCCTTTAATTCCTAATAAATATTACATTTTTTTGTACTAATATTCAGCACCAGAACCCTAATTAATTTCTAACACAACGTTATAAATTATAGAATACTGTATCTTCCTACCGCTCTCCCTGATCTTATTCCAGCCACAGGATTCCAATTAAATGTGAAACAGCTACTTATCCCAGGCCTTGGCCATCTGGCCATTTTTATCTTCCTTCTCACATGCCCTTCAAAATATCTTCGTCAGATACTACGATTTCTGACCTTTGTCTCCCATAGGAGTTAGTCCCCTAAAGCTGCTCATTCTTTCCAGTGCCAGCCAGCTGTTTGCTTATCAGTATAGCACAGTACCTGATTTCCTAGAGATGATGGGTGTACCACCTCATGGTCTGCCCCTGGCACCCATGTTTCAGCTAAGGTGATTCCCTCTGCCTGATGCACAGCCCATATCATACTTTTCCTCGAGTTCCATGCTGCTCCAAGCTTTATCTGGCCTTCCTTATAGTCTATCCTTTGCTCTTTGTTCCATCTACACAAAACACCTTGCTCCCCCATTTTCCCATTCCTCAACCTACCCACCACTCAATTTTGCAACTAGTTATGGAAAGTTCTTCCTAACCTAATGTAACCAGTAAGCTTCCCTCATTTGAACACTTCCTGCTTCATGCAGCCTTCCTGAATAAAAAGAAGAAAATACCTCCTGGATTTTTCTTACAGCAAACTGTAATGCATTGGACCATGCATTTATGCATAGTGTTACTACCTAGCTTACTAGATTTCTCTATAACTGCTGCAGCTATGCAGCTACTTGTCCATGTCAGTGTCATCTGCTTTAGGTTGTAAGGACAAGGACAGGACCTGTTTTACCTTGTGCTGTACAGGGCTGATCATAGTATGAACATATGGGCAGTTAATTCAATACTATTATAAAGATGAGTAATTACATTTGCATTTAAAGAGCTGCTTTTAATTGTATTCATCTGAATGTGTATATGTAGATTGGCAGCTCCACTGGCCAAAGATAATCCATCTTCCCTGCCATTAGGGTAAAGGGCTGTTCACACACAGTAGTTCATTTTCCCAATACATGGGAATGTGGCAGTGGCTTCTGCTTATTGCAGATAAGTACTGAGTGCCCACAGAGGGCATAACACTATACTAGGTGTGTGGAATATAGAGAAATCCCTGTTGGCAGCTTTAACTGCTTTACCTGTCACCACATCCAGCTGCCTTGCTCTGTGAACTTCTGGACCACATGGCACAGATGAAAATCAGATGAGACTGGACAGAAAGAAAACCAAACTAAATCTTGTAAATGTATTACTCTAACCCTTCTTCTAGGACTCAGAAGAAACTAAGAAATCCAGGGTTCATACTTCAGTATAAAGTTTTCATTGTTTCTGCCTAAGAACACCTGGTTATAGACAAGATGATTCACAGAGAAGAGCCAAGATAGACATTAAACTTTCCTTCAAGGTAAATGAAGTGTGCCTCACAAAGCTGTCATTTTGAACACAGGTTTAAGCGTACAGAAGAGCCATTCATTCTAGCATTTCCATTATTGTATAAAGAAGAGCTAGGCCGAGCACAATGGCTCATTCCTGTAATCCCAGCACTTTGGGAGGCAGAGGCAGGCAGGTCACGAGGTGAGGAGTTCGAGACCAGCCTGGCCAACATGGTGAAACCCCATCTCTACTAAAAATACAAAAATTAGCTGGGCATGGTGGCAGGTGCCTATAATCCCAGCTACTTGGGAGAGTGAGGAAGGAGAATTGCTTGAACCTGGGAGGTGGAGGGTGCAGTAAGCTGAGATCATGCCATTGCACTCCAGCCTAGGCAATAGAGCAAGACTCCATCTTGTAGGAAAAAAAAAAAAAAAAAAGAGCTAGACCCACCTAATGGGCAAAGTCTCACAACTTCTTGAAATGTAATGGGTTTTTCCTGTCAAAATGCAGCTGAATGACAAAATGAGTAAAGAAGGATGCATATTAAATTCATAGGATCTACTACCATGTTGTCTTTACTTTATTAAGGGAACACCATAGGCACTGAGAAGGAAAAGATGTTATCCATCAATTCAGATGCACAACGAGGGGGACTGAAATCTTCCCTTCATTCTTTAGAGTGCCTTGGGGATTTGACTCTAGATCAGGAAAAACAAGGAACAAACAGTGGCATAAAGCCTAAAGACAATTTCCCAAGCTAGCTAGACACAGAATAGGAGATGGATCTCACTTTTGGAAGACTTCTGAACAATACATTTATTGAGCCTCTTTATTATCCTCAGAGGCTTACTTAGGTGCTGACTGTGACAGAAGCTTTTCCCGTGCATGGATTTCTCGGTGCTTATTAAGGGCTGAGCTTTTACTGAAACACTTGCCACAGTCATGACACCCATAGGGTTTCTCTCCTGTGTGGGTTCTATGATGTGCACGTAAGTCAGAACTCTTACTGAAACTCTTTCCACAGTCAGGACACACATGGGGTCTCTCTCCTGTGTGTATCCTCCGATGTGCACTAAAATGAGAACTGTTATTGAAACTTTTTCCACACTCTTCACATTGATAGGGCTTTTCTCCTGTGTGGGTTCTCTGGTGAATGATAAGGCTTGAGCTCTGATTGAAGCGTTTCCCACACTCACCGCATTGATAAGGTTTCTCTCCTGTGTGGATCCTCCTATGGGTGATGAAATTTGAACTGTCACGGAAACTTTTTCCACAGTCAAGACATTTATAAGGTTTCTCTCCAGTGTGGATTCTCCGGTGTCTAATAAGTCGTGCACTCCGACTGAAACTTTTCCCACAATCAGCACATTTATATGGATTTTCCACCTGGTGGGATACCTGATGCATGAGAAGGGAATTAGGACCAAAGCTTTTGCTGTATTTGAGATATTTATAGGGTCTCTCTCGCTTCTCTTCACTTAGGACTTCACTTAAACCCTTCTCTTGGAGTGTCAGTTTTCTTTTCTCCCCTGGGGTCTTTTCCCACTGTCTTCCTGATCTACAGTCACTTTCATTGCCTTTACCTTGATTAAGATACTGGAAAATTTTCCTTTCAGACCTTGCAAGTAATGTCCTATGCAGTTGTACTTCCTCAGAAATATCCCGTTTTGAATTCTCTTCATTCTCAAATCCAGCTTCAAAACCTGATGTAAAATAGAATTTTAGAAGTTATCTATTTCCTTAATTATATGTGCCCTGGGAATGTAAAACTTGGGAAAAACAAGCATTACATCAGATAATTAAAGATAAAAATTAGGAAGCCCTAGATCCCAAATAACTACCATCATCTTATTAAAATCCCAATGTTTTACTTCTCTGCTTGGTAACCTGTCATGTGCTTCTCATCTACATAGGGTCTCATTAATATATACTTTTAACTCCTCTTGGTCACATAGGATCTTTGGAAAATCCTCTCAGTGCAGCATGGAAAACTCACTAGGTTTTAGATAATTTCTATGTTTCTACAGGAAAGACACTTTCTAATACGTATTTTTGCCACATCTCAGGTCTATCATAGTATTCTTATTCATGTTCTTTGCCAGTAACTAAAAGGTTTAGAAGGACATGCTTAGGAATACATTTTTGGAAACGGAAACTTTTATATCCAGAAGGAGCTTCATGAGTCTCCTTCCCCTCACATTCCAATATACATTGGAAATAAAAAGAGGATAGAAAAATACTTAGTCTTTCAAAGAACCAAAAGGCCTTAAGAACCAAATGCCTGGCTTCTTTGGGCCTAGGATATGCAAATTTGCATTTATTCAGATATTTCAGGTAAACTCTGAATCCCATATTCCCGGGACTAAATCTAGGAGCAAAAACATGTTGAGTATCAGCCCATGTTTGTATCTCCTGAGACAGTATTTCCACTCAGAAGCCTAATCTTACATTTCATGAAATATTCACTAGATTAAATAAATCTTAGAACCTTAAATATGTGAATATGTATTGTGAGCCTCCAAGAGGGGTATTTACCATCTTCCCAAACCTAGAAGCTATTTTTTAGTAGAATATATTAATACCCCATGGAATTGATATTCCATGGAATACCCTTAAAGAATGCTCATCTTAAAGACTTATGGAAATGAAAACTATTATTTATTGAATGCCTATTATGTGCCAGGCACTGTGCAGAGTACCTCATTTACATCAACCCTATGAGGTAGGTCTTAATATATAAGCAAACTTGGGGGTTAAGTAACTTTTTTTTTTTTTTGACAGATTTTCACTCTTGTTTCCCAGGCTGGAGTGCAATGT